CATTTTGTTGGCAGACTTCTGGAGCCGATTCACGGCCACTCGGACTCCAGCGAGAGGGACGAAGACGACTAGGGGCCCAGCGAGTCGTGGCTTGAGCTCTCTCCCAACGTTTTTTGGGTGGGGGGGTTGGGTTGCCCGTAAATGGAATGGACGAAATTAATTAAGAAATGGTGCCCTTGTTCTTTGGTTGGGAGGGGTGCCCGTGTCTAAAATAGACTACAGGAAAAAGAAAGGGCACCCTTACTGTATTCCAACCTCTCGACTGGAGGACCTAGGACAAGAAGTCGTGGCTGCGATTTCCCGACTTCGGCCACGCAAATGGCCATGGGTGCCTGTTCCCAAATAGTACGGACATATTATCTTGCTGGTCCCCATATGAGCATTGGGCAACTTTATTTGTGTGGTGGAAATATCATGTTTCTCTTGTTTTACTTGTTTTCCAACCAATGGTCATCCCATGTAAAGGAGCTTTTGATCAACCCCCATTTCGCGCCACAGCACCCAGCGATTCCGTTTAATTACCTATACGGGAGGCAACCAAGAAATCCACCCGTTGAAAGCAAACAGGACAATTGCTGGTGAGTGTTGACCCCGATTCAGCCACCCCTATCCATGAACATGGGGGGTCTTCAACCCCCAAACGTGATGAATCCCCGCTAGAACCAGGGAGAAGCACCCCCAATATTCATAAGCATGGCTTTATTCATCCGGGGTCAACACTACCTATTTTCTTGTGGTAATTCGCTGGGATCTGCTGATCCGCTGACCAGGGATCCGCCATCCATGGTACAACCAAGATGTAAGGATACCGAAGAGATACCTCTGGTGGTAACTGAAAGCATTGGGGGCTATTTGGTTGGAATTTCAATCTTTAACTGATTTGTTTCCATGAAACCCCAAAACACGGTGCGGTCTTGGCTTTTTCGAGGGCCCCTGCGAAGGGATTTGGGCCCCCAAGATGGGCTTCGGTGTCCCTTTCGTTTCCCAAAATTCCCGAAAGGGGTGCCCGGAGAAAAGAAGACGGCTACCCAAGTACCCAACAAACGATGGGGTTAGGATGAATATATTTCTTCTGCTGGTTCCTTAGAATGTGAGGTTCGGCCCAAAAATCCGGATTTGTCAATGAAAAGCGGGGAACTCTCTTAATTGTCCCCTTAAATACCAGCCCACCGGGCCCGAATCCCGTTGTGAGAAGCTTTGCGAGCACTAAGGTGATGTTCACAGCTCACATCCAAGCCCTAGAGCGAGTCATGTCCTTCTTGAGGATCGACCAAGCCCAGGCGCGCGAGCGCGCTCGTCGCGGGGTAAAACGCGAGCCCAGAGTTCGCTCGAATGTGCATGGGTCAAAAGAAAGCCGGTTGACTTGGGGTTGTTATGGCCATTTACACGAGTTTATACTATCAGCACATGCGGGTTCCTCATCAGGGGGGAACCATGACCATACTCCACATAGGCAGTTTTGCACGCAATGGGATTAGGTCAAAATGAGTGGTAGACTATGGTCAACTTGGGAGGGGCACATTTGGGAGGAGCTGCCAGATTTCTCAGGGTTTTTGACGGTGCCTGTACTTGAAACTCCTTGCCTTCTTAGTGGGTCACAGGGACCCCACCAACCCCGATGGCCCGAGAGAAACAAGTTTGGCTTGATTTACCCATAGCCTCCAAGCCCTTAAACCCATTTCGATTGAAGGGTGATGATCTAGGGGGCCAAGTAATAACACACATGGTTGTTCTAGGAGGAAACCTTAATGGTTTCCCCCATTCCAATCATGTGGGTCCTTGCAGTAGGCGCGTTCAGAATCTGTGTTTGTGTGTGTTGTCGTGTCGTGTCGTGTCGTGTTGTGTTCTTCACCACAATTTTGGTTCGCAATAGCTCATGTTTGGGCTGGATAAGCCCTTATCACTGCCTTCCCCCGAACTGCGCTAACAGGGTCTTATCCAGTGCTTGTGAATAAGCCCATTAGAAGCCCTTAGACCTCCCCATAATTCCATTTGGAGAGACCGACCAAAATTCGAGCCAGAGATCGCCTGGATAGGACTATGCCAAGGGCGTTTGGAGCTCGGCCACCAATAGGACTGCTTCGGACTCCGACTCGGTTCAACTTGGGTGTTTTTCGGCGTTCTGTTGGTTGGCTTCTAGACTTTTTAGTTGGTTTCCGTCCGGTGCCTCAGCTTTTGGTAGGTTTTCAGTTGGTCTAGATGGGGTTTCCATTTGCCAACCCGAGCCATCAGGTACCCATGGACCCGGCTGGGGGAACCCCGGATTTTTATTAACCCCTGCTTGATTTTAGTTGGGTGGTCTCACCCTTTTGGGATTCCATCTTGAAAGGTGAGACGAGGCCTATTCTCACCCCCTGACATAATATAAGATGTAGGGATTCCACTTTTGAAGGGAGTACCCTAAACCCCCAGATCAAACCAACGGGACCCTTGGAGGGCTGGAACCTTCGGTTCTGGATGGTTTCGATTGACCCTTCATGGCCCAAAACCCCCGCTCTTTTCGAATGTTCTGCGCTTTTCACCGGTTTCTTGGCAGTGAACTGTTCTTGTTGTTTTTTTGGTTTGATTTGATGGTTGTTTGATTTGGTTTGCTGTTTTTGTTGGCCTGTTTTGATTTTTGTTGATTTTGATTTGTTTTGTTTGGCCTGTTTTTGTTGCTTTGATTTGGTTTGCTTCTGGCGGGCTTTTGGCTTCTTGGCTTCGCGGTGGCCGAAGCTACCACTCGCTCCCGTGCCGGGACTTTGAACCCTTCAGGGTTTGGGAGCTGCTGTTGGCCATCGGGAAGCGAGCAGAGATTTTCGTTGGCGCCCCAACTTTTCGGGCGGGCTTTGGAAACCAAACATCCGGTTCAGGTGTTTGTTGTCTCAAAAGGGACCCCAGACCACAGAACCCCCCGCCTTGGAGAATCCGGGCGCGGTTCCTGGTTTTGGGGTTTGCTTTCGGTCCTTGAACCCCGGATTTCTGTGGGGGCTGTTTGGGTCCGGGTCAGTCGGTAAGATCCGGCTTGGTGGATGGGTCAAGCAGGAATTGGTAGCAAGGGACCCTTAGATTTGGGCCATGGCTATGTTGACCCCGCACCCAGAAGGTCCAAGCACTCCATATTTGTTGCGGTTTTTTGGATTGCTTCAAGGGAATTTGTCGCAAATATGAGGCACTTGGAGGCTCTGGGTTGGGCCAGTGGCATTCATACGGGGACACGCTTGTGAGGTTCGGCTTAGTTCCTGGGTTTCTAAATGAATTGCTCCCAGCTCCCTTTCCCTTGTTTTGTCGGAAAAAGGCTTGCCAGCCTTTAGCAACCTGGATGGCTGGGGTACTTGGAGCCAAACTGCCGATCGACTGGGGGTCAACCCGAAGGGTCACTTGGTAATTCGCCAGGATCCTGGACCCGTTCTAATGATTTCCCATTGAAGGGAGCCATGACCATATGTCGTTTGGACCATGGCTATTGCCGTGATGCTGTTGCTTGTTGAGAAGGAACCCGGCGGAGGGATAGTGTTCTGTTTTTGTAGGCTAATTGGGTGGACCCGGTTTCATGGACCCCTACGGGGGTGCAAAGTGAGGAGGGGGGGGGACTCCCTTATGACCCCCTTTATTGCCTTATTGAGCTTATCCTTAGCAAATCCTCGGCTTTCAGGATAGCCCCTCCCTAAACCGCCCCTAGCCCATGACGGTTCTTCAAGGAGGTTTCGACCTGTCGGTGGGTTGACCAGTAGGCTTGTTGCCCGGTGGTCGACCTCCCGCTTGCTGGGTACCAGGAAACCACCCCAAGCCGGGCTCCAAACCACCAATGGGTTGGCCAATCTGGACCGGAGGGTTCTAGCCGGTGGAATTGGTCGCATGGCTGAGCCTGATATTCGGGGTTGATCAATCTTCCTTTCGGGCCCCCCAAATGACAATGGGTAACTTTTCCCATTTAGTGGGACACGTCATCTTTTTTCGTGGTTTTCCAACCAATGGTTTTCCCAAAGGACCTGTTGATCAACCCCCATATACGTCAAACTTGGTGGTCCAGTACTGCTTCAGCTGCTAGGGTTCCATTCTTTATTCCTGGCTTTACATGATCCTTTCCCTCAGTTCGCCACTGACTGGTAGCTGGAAGCACTGAGATCGGAACATATGGCTGTGGGTCAAAATAAACCCAGTCTTTGGTTCCATGTATCAGGGCAAGCCATTTTGGGGTTACCGCATTTTTGACAACCACAGCCATATCACCTTCAGGGAAGGTCAGCCCGCGTCACATCGCAGGATAGCATCGCCGCGAGGATGAGATCGGCGAAGTCCTGCGGATGCCGAAAAAGACGCGAACTTCAGCTGCTTCAATGGCTCCAGTTCTGTGTGTGTGTGTGTGTGTGTGTGCGTCCCAGTTGCCCAGTGCTGCCTGTTTTTGTTCTTCCTTTATTGTTTTGGGAGGGCTTCCCTTTAAAGTCAACCAACCAAAAAAGGAAGCCCTTTTTTCCTATGGCCACTAAGCATCTGAGGTGTGTGTGTGTTTGTGTGCGTGCGCTCGTTTGCGTGCGCTCGTTTGTGTGCGTATTTTCTGTTTTTGGTGTGTGTGTTTTTGTGTCTCCGTGTCTCTGTATCTATGTGTCTTAGTGTCTCTGGGCCTTTGCGTTTCTGTCTCCATGTCTCTGTCTCTGTCCTGTATGTTTTGTTCTTGAGGATGTTCTTTTCAGGGTCCCTTAGTCGTGACTTCTGGGAGGGTTTTCGACCAGCGGCTTTTGCAAAGGGAGGCGGCAAGGCGGCGGGTCACTCCCTGAGCTCCTCGACTTGAAGCCATTTTTTGGTTGAAACGACCCTTGTTGCAGCAACCGAACAGTTGGCTTGAGTTGCTTCCTCTTTTCAGGGAGGGTTTTAAAGGGAAACCAACAGGAACAAACACCTTCCCGTTTGGGTGGTGCGATTCCCAATAAAAGAAACCCTACCCAGAGCTGAACACCCACTTTAGGCTTTGGCAAACGCTGGGATCCATATGAATGGGTCCATGGACCGATTCGTTCGAGGTTGGCGGAGTTGGCCGATTCTGTGGAGTATCATCACAGGCCAGCCTTTCGCCGCGCGCGATTTTTTTATATTCCTCACATGATTCTGGGTAGTTGTTTTTGTGTTTTCCAGGTCTGATTATGACTCTTGTGGTGTGCATGGGTGCCCATCGGTGAGTTGGGCTAGATGTAGATGGGTTCCACTGGTTTAGATTGGTTTTCACGGAAACCCATCTACTCGTCCAAAAGGACACCCATGGTCCATCGCCGCGCGGTTTTGTTCACTCAAAGATCTTCTTTGCATCTGCTGCAATTCAAAGAAAGGCCTGTTTAAGCAGCAAACAGCACGTGTGCTTCAGTGAAGGGACATGGGGGACACACAACATGTCCTCAAAGCGCCAAGGGAGTTCTCAACTTGTTTTTTGTCCATGTCCTCTTCATGGGCCTCATGGGTGTGACCGGAAAGGTCCCGTAGTTGGAAACAGATTGTTTTTTTTCCCGTTGGACCTCAATTAATTTGATTAGATCAGGTAGCCCTTAATTGGTGGTTTGGATTGGTGGTTTAGGATTTGAACCCCTGGCTTCGCAGAGGGTAAATGGGAAACCATCCCCCTGACCACCCGACCGCCATTTCAATTTTCTGCAGCAAAATGTGGACATGAAGATTCCCAAAAGGAGATTCCGCTGTTCTTCTGCGAAGTTTGCGTCGTAAAGGAGCCCAAGGTCCGCCGTTGACATATGATCGATTTCTTGTTTTGCTAAGCGCTGGCCGCTTGGGTTGGATGTGTTTTTGCTCTTTGGCCAACATTACACATATAGACATCATTTCATAAATTGGTGTTGGTGGGTATATATTCATATATAACTTCAATTCGGCGCTATTTGCTTTGTTTTTATTGGCGCCCCCAACGCGGGGCGGAAGCCCCTTGACCTACCGCATTGGTCTCCAGAACGCAAACATGAAGGATGCCCTAAATATCGCAAGTAAACCACCCATCCACCACAAATTCAATTGCGGTTTCCTTGTTCCATTCCTTGAATGTTTGGGGCATCCACAGAATGTTTGGTGTGCCTTGGGGCGTGGCCATGTTTGGCGAATGCCACTTTGACAAAGCGGCTAAGTTGCAAGAAGTAAGTCCTGGTGCTATCCCCAACAGCCCCAACCACCCCCCGCCTGCCGAACGACTCCAACGACTCCAGAGCTTATCTGAGAGAGCCCAGGCTTTCAGCTGATTTATTACCCACCAAAGCAAAGGTTGCGAGTCTGGGTTAGTTGTTTGCCCCTGGGCACTAGCCCACTAGCCACTCGCCTGACGCCGCCCTTCAAGCCTAGTTGCCAACAGCAGCAGCCAAAACTCTCTTTGGCCAGTATTTTAGGCGGTTCGACTGCCAGGTTTCACGAGGTCGTGGTAAGGCCCATATAGAAGCGAAAGTGAATGGAAGTTGGGCACTGCTCAAATAAGTCCCAAGATTAATTTTTCAGATGGGATCCCAGGGTATGGAAACATAGGGCACCGGCAGCTTGTACCCCTCTGCCAATTTGTTGCCTACGCCTTACTTGAAAGTCCAATCCCAGCAGCAGAGGTGTGTTTTTGTTTAGGGGACCCCCGCCCGCCCACAAATGGTCAGCTTCCCTCTAGTTGGTGGTTTGGATTGGTTTGGTGTTAAGGAGGGGCTTCCACGTTAAGCGTCCACAAGAACCAGTGGGTCAAATCCAATCCAATCCACCAATCAGATACCCTCTTTCCAAGAATCATGGAAGTGGACAAAGGGGTTCCCCAAAAGGAAAATTGTCTTCCAGGGGGCCAGCCAAGAGGTGGTTCAATCGCCAGGCAAGAAGGCGGCCTGGCCTGGATCGCCGTGCAGAAACTTCCTAGAGCCTTCGCCGGAAGGTGTTAGTGGCATTCGGGACACCGGATTCCCCGAGTTGGAGATTCTCCTGGATGGGCAGGGAAGTGGGTTTTGCTTCTCCCTTACAAAAAAAATCACAAAAAACAATCAAAACACGGGTAGATGCAGATTACATGGGCTTGTCTCTTTTTTTGGAGGGAGGTGGGTTTCCCTTTGCTCCTTTCCGATCACCTAGATGATGGCTCCGGAGTTCGGAGAGGTTTGGAGTTGAACCCCCGTGGATCTCAGGTGCCATAGGTACCCTCCCACCAATTAACATGGTACCTGTCAGCGGTCCTGGAAAACAATGTTCCTTTCAAAGGGACTGGGTCCCTGTCAGGGTTCATGTTAATTGGCGGGACGGCAACGCTTCGCGGTTCTCCTTTTGAAGAAAAGATGGGGCCCCCCCATGTTACCTACTATATATATCGGAACTGGGATCTTGAAACCTGAAAGCTGCCCCTTTTTGAGATGAGATCCAATGGAGAGCTCCCCTTAGCACCGATCCTTATTTGCGGATTTGAGGAATCGTTTTTTTTTGGTTTCCTCGGATTTTCCCGAAAGAACCAAACCCAAAACCAGAAGTATGGAGCACGCTACCTGGGGAAAGGTGCACATCTTTTAGCTTCCAACCAGAATTAGTTCCCCTTTTTACTTTCTTGCTTTTTTGGGGTTCCCTTTGTTTTCCACTACCGGGCAAAAAAGACATTTTTTTGCAGGGGTCCTAATTCCAGCCAAGTTAGGGCCACTGGACGTGTTCGGAGGTTTCATCCATCCATTGCCACGGAGGCCACCAGAAAGCCCCTTTTAGAAGAAGATGGCAACTAAGCCACCTGGGTATCTGACAACAAACCCCCTGGCGATCCTATCTGGCAAGCGCTTCCCTCGAACGCTTTTTGTGTTTTGTTTCTGGTTGGACAAAGGACAATCATGTAGGGGAGGCACTTCCCTTTCGAGCCCTTGGCTTCCGATGGCAAGTGGAGGTGGGAATGTGGGAATAACCCCAGGCATTCCTTTAAAGGAACAGCAGCTAAAGGAAACCACAAGGGATGGTTTAAAAGGGGCATTCCCTCCTTCCCTGCTGCGCACCAGCAAGGTCTTTCGTGGCAAAAACAGAAAAATTGTCGGGGGGCCAGGAGACGATCTATGATGAGAATCAGAATTGGCAGTGGCTCAAAATTAAACAGCTGGGGTTACGCAGGTTTGGGTCCAACCAGGGCAAGCCATTTTGGAATTCCAGTTTTTTGAGCCATACCCAATTAATCCCCCTGGACCAATTTGCAAGTTCGCGCCAAGAAACGGTAGAAAGGCAGAAGAAATCGGGGTCCGCGGGTGGATGTTCCATCTGGCTCCGAGGAACTCTTTGTGCCCTCCCACTTCAAGGTAAGACGGGCGGCCGGGGCGTCGCTCCCCGTTGCAAGCCACGAAAAACCGAAGCGGGTCCCTTTGCTGGTTGGTTTAAAGGGAAGCCAACAGGGACACCCCCCTCAATTTTTGGAGTTCCCTATATTAAAAAAAAAACACCCAAGTGCATGCCGGTTACCAATGGCACGGGGCTGCATTCACCATTCCTGTCAACCATTGTCTTTTTGCCGGTCGTTTCTTAAAAGCATCCTTGGAGAGTTTCCCCAAGAAAAGTAACAGCTTGGACGGTTTGCCTTCCGGCGCCTTTCTCTCTCACTCACACCTTTGTCAGTCTCTCTTTCTCACACACATACTGCGAATGTGTCCAGTGGATCAATGTACCAATCGTTTGTAGGTAACCAAGGGAGCCACCCTTTGAGCAACTCAATTCCAAATGGATGGTTGCCTACACATCGAAACGCCTGGGATCAACTGGGCTGACCTGGCTTGCCTATCGTGAATGGAATCGCAGGGGTAGGACACCAGTAGAGCTGTAGCTAAGGATACAGGGATCTTGCAACTTTCCATTTGCTTACCCAGAGGGTCCCTTGGTACCTTCTGAGGATGGCTTTAGGGGGGTCAAAAGGGGTCTAAGTACGTCCTTAGAAGGTACTTGAACCCTCTGGGTTAAGAATATGTTGTATTTTCCCCTGTTGGTTTTAAAGGGAATCTATCACTACTGGAAATAGTTTTTAGTTTGTTCCAGGGGGCGAAAATGCAAATGGAGGCGAAATGGATACAGGGATCCTAGAACTCATTACTCTCAGTACAGCATTCTCCATTTCCGCAATCCCCGTGTGCTTTGCGGCCGAGCAGCTGCGCGCCCAAAAAGCAGAGCCTCGCGCTGGGCGGGAACCCCCGTGAAGGTAACCTGAAAAGGTTGCCCTCAAAAACGTACACAGCTTGGACCAACAAGACCTTTCTTGCCCTGCCAGGAGAAGGACCAAGTAGTTCCCTGGATGCGGATGCAGGTGGGAATCGAATTGAGCGGTTGCTGGAATCAGCATATGTGCCACAGTCAAAGGACCGGTTCCTGGGGTGGTAGGGATGGTCAATCTCAAAGTACAAAGTCCTGACGGCCTGTCATGAATCACTGATTGGGTGTTGCCTCGGTTTGTTGTACAGAGGCTTATGAACTCTGTGAACCATTGTGAACCCCCTCCCAACTAGAATATAAGTATAAATATAAGTGTATATATATATATATATCATGTAATAGCTATGTCCGCGTGAAACCTTGTTATGCTGGCCGCGTTGTGTCAGAATGACCCAGGCCATAATCCCTTTGGGCAGCACACACAAGCCCAACAAAATGCTGTAGTGGGCAGTCCACTTGGGAAGTGAGATGAAAGTCCTTCTGAACCAGTTGCTTGGCAAATTGTTACAACTTAACGGTTGTTGCGACCTCAATGGCGAACATTTCTTTGGGGTTCTTGGTTCCGGTGTGTGAATGGCTTAATATTCATCCAGTTTGTATTTATGAAGTTTGTAAACGTTGCAGGTTTTTTTGACGATTGCCAAGTGTGACAGCTTGCTGCTGCAAAGATTTGGCAATTTCCATCAGTGTCTACAGTGAGTAGCACAAAGTTTTGCAAATGGGAACCCGAATCGCGGCCCTCGCATTCCAGGAAAAGTATCGAACACTGCGCTAAGAGTACCTGTTGGTTGGGTCGAACTGATTTGTGGGAGGAGTGAAACTGCCACATCGGAGTAAGGAGCCCTTGCGAGGAAGATGATCGGGCTTTAGAGAACAACTGAGAAGGGTTCTCGAGCCGTTTCTAACGGGCTAGAGGCGAGTCCCAGCGAATCGTGCTTAGGTGTTCAGTTGTGACAGCTGGCTTAGTGGGTGGGTGTCCATTCAACCCACTTGCTGCAAGAAAGTAGCACTTGCGGCATTTTCGTCTTGATTTACTTGCACAGGCGTTCGGTGCTCGTGGTCTAACCACCGACCACGTTACGATCCATTTTCATGCGAGGCACTCAAAGTTAAACATGAAGTGGATCTGAGCACAGCCCAGTTGGGTAGAACATTGCTTTGGTGTGTTTTCTGTTCGGGTGCGAATAAACATTTCTAGCTGCGAGATATCAATAGCGGGAAGCCGCAGTTCGGTTCATTCTGCGCAAAGGAAACGGATTCCAGTTTCGCGGCCCAAATGTCTGGCAGCCTTGGAACCGGGCAGATTCAGATTTTCATCAGAACCTTTCAAAAAACTCCCGACAGGCGTTGGTTTCCAGCCGGTCTTGTCTCATTTGTTCGTTGCTCGCCGATGCTCGCCGCTTTTAGTCGGACTCCCACATCAAATCCCATCTAGGTCCCCCAGTAGTGCCCTTCTCTCCCTATTTTTTGGGGAGGGTTCCCCTACTAAAACAGACAAAAAAGAAAAAGAAACGGTACCAACTTATTCTAACCTCTCTAATCTGGAGGACCTAGGTCACTTTTCTGAGGATGCCTTGAAGGGCAAAATCTTAAGGGACCCCCTTCGAGGCGCGGGCGGCCGAGCAAGTGCCGGAGCCACAGGTTGGTTCGCACCGGAGCCAGAGGCGATTCACACGGCTCTGACTCTTCTACTTGTTTTTTTTTATACTTTGTTTTCCGGGCAAAGATTCTTGGGGAAAACCCAGTTATTGTTTTTACACGAGGAAAACCCAGTTTTCTATCAATTCTGTCTCTTCTTCTTCCTTCTTCCCGGACCCACACAGTGGCTTTTCCTGTTGGCTTCCCGCAAAAACCAGGCCCAAGGCTAGGCGGCTAGCCTCAAGAAGACACGGAAAAATCTTAGGCTCCGATCCATGGATTCAGTTTGCAGGGGAGCACTCGTTTTGAGACGGTGCGGCTTCGGACACCCCGGTCCTCCACTGGGTCCTCCATACCTCGCGCCCCAATCGGACGAAACCGAGGTCTTGAAGGACCAATTCGCGGTTCGCCCATGTCATGAGGGCCATGTGACTGAAATTTGAAACTGAATATGATATAGGTTTCTGCGTAGACCCTTTTATGTGACCCAAGAAAAGCGCCTAGACAGTAATGCGGGGGTTGTGGTCTTGCTAAACCAACTTAAGGTATATTGGGTTGGTTCCTCTCAGAGAATCATCGTCCGGTTCATGCCCAACACCCGACTCGGTCATTCCCTGTCGCACCAGCAAGAAACCTTTGGCCCCAGAAAGAATCAAGAACTGCCAAGAGGGGTTGGCCTGATCTGGCCCCGAAAACCAGCATACTCTCTTCAAGCTGAAGATGTAAGAACGGCCCTTGCTGTGTTGCATCATTTCTGCCTGGGCGGGCGCACCGATTCGGGTTGGCAAAGCGAGCTCACCATCCCTTACTTAGGGATCTCTCAGGTCTGGTTTAGGCAAACTGAAAACGATCACATCGAGTAGTTTGACCGAACAATCTCATGGAAGCCAACGGAGATTCTAGGGAGGAATCGTCCTAGGCCTCCAATGGTGCCCTTGGAAAGGTTCGTCTTTGAAAACAAACAAAAAAGAGATTAGCGAGAGCCCCTTGTTCCCGGGGATTTACCTCTGACAGTGCGGGTGCTTGTTTGATCAGCCAACTCACAATTGGGGGTTTGCCTGGTTCTTGTACAAAATAAATAAACCACCCTTAACCACTAATCCACTGGGCCCCAAACCACCAATCAATGAGAAGCTGATAAGAGTATTCAACCAGAGGCAATGGGGGGCGCTTCTAGTTTCCAAGTATTTTGACTCGCGAGGCCATCTCCCCGGATCCAGAGGATCCAGGTCATGTTGGGGGGGCCTTGTTCTGAGGGTACCAAAGGGAAAACAAGGATTCCTGGGACTCAAAGGACAGCCACCCACACCAGTTTGGGGCTCCAACTCCCGTTTTGTTTGACACAAACCCACATGCGCCATGGTCAAACCCTCCCCTGTACTTGGGAGTGCTAGGCATGGAAATGGGCCTCTCAGGAATGTTAGACAACCATCAGGATTCCCAAGGAACCACGGCACATGGCACAACACTCTGGTCTTTGCTTGTTTTTTTGGACTATCCCTTTTTGGGGGTGCGTTTAAAGGCCAGTCATGTGGAGTCGCCTTTGAGACAAAGCCCAGCTTCGTCCGAGGCCCACAGTCCCGGCCGGAAGCCGAGCAGCCGGGCAGCGAGAGGGCGAGAGGCCTCCGCAGAGAGAGGAGCAGCAGCTTCCATTTCCGTTCTCTTCACTGGGTCGTCTTTAGCCATCCGGTTCCTTGGCCTTTTGGCCTTTTGGTGTTTAGTGGTTGGATGTCCGAATTTACTTAGTTGCCCAAAGCCGACCTTTTTGGCCTTTTGGTTTTCCCATTTTGGCAACCATTTTTAGCCATGGCCCCAAAAGGTGAACCTTTTTTTCCAGGTCCTTTGGGCAACTGAGTTTCAGCCACGAAAGGTGAGTCACTTTTCGCAGATCTGAGGACTGCCCAGCTTTCAGGGATCCGTCTCTTTAATTGGCCAAAGGTCCCCGGGAACCAAGGCGGTTTCTACAGGGCTCCTTAAAATAAATATCCATTCTGCAACCATTTGAAACATGTTGCTTTTTCAACACCAAAAGAAAGTTGGACACCACCACTTACAAGGCAATGTTCAGGTGTATAATGTAAGGATGCCTGTTTCTAAAGAGAAGGATAGATGAAAATGGGGATTCAACCCCTAGACTTTGGGGTTTCTCAATGTGTTGTTAGGGGCCAATTTTTTCAGGTGATTGGTTTCCCCTGAGTTTCCCTTATCCATCAACCAGGGGGTCCCCGAACAGCCCTATTCCTGAGAACTCCATCGCGCTCAAATAAACGCCGTTGTGATTTTGGACGGGAATTTCTGCCGCCACAACAAAAGAAACGCCGTTGAATGCAAGAAACGCCGGCAGTTTGCCAGAAACGCCTTTGGCCCTTGGCTGATCCAAATCAGCTCAGGGCCTCGGCGCAAAGCAGTCTCAGAAGGTAGCAACATGAAGCGCTGAACACAACACAAAACTGACTTTCGCCCCCTTGCAAGGCGGCTTGGGTCGATTTGTGACATCCTGATCACTCCTTAGCGAAGATAATTTGAAGAACTTCATCAAGAAAGCGTTTGCGATGCTTGGGCTCGAGTTCCGCCGTTGGGACGCGCGTTTCCGCCCTCGGAACGCACTCGGGACGCGCGTTTCCGCCGTTGGGACGTAGGTTTCCGCAGGTGCAAGTCAACACATTTGGCGGCAAAGCCAATGGGTAATCCAACAGGTCGCACCGAGCTTCACCAACCCACAAAACATGGCAGAACACCTGGCAAAGTTGCATAGTCGCGGTCCGAGGTGCGCAGATCTTGCAAAGCAGCCCGCGTCAGGCAAAATCCCATAGGATATCAGCTTCGACTCGGGAAATAGACGCGTCTTCAACTCGAGGGGTTTGGTTCCGAGCGTCGGAGTTCCTGAGATGCAGAGCTTCCTGAGGTTGATCCCTTTTATGAGAGACACCCGGAGTTGCTGAATGGGGCCTCAAAATCTGCCGTATGTGATTTTGGAGCCCCACCATCCATGGATGAGCCACTTAGGATTGATCACTTGAAGATGGCGGATACCAACGGCTTGATTTTGTATTCTTGTTGGGTTCTTGGTGCCTTCTGAGGCCGTACCAACTCGATCACCTCTTTTCGAGCCCTCAAGTACGTCGCTCCCAAGGGGCCCGCGGACTTACCTTTGGCAAACCAGGCTTTGTAGAAAGAGCAACAATGGAGGGTGCAACCCAACCAGTGAAAGGACACAACCCTCCCTTTCCCAGGTGGATTCTTTATGAATCCAGAAAGCCCAGAAAGCTCCCACCCGCCCACCTCTAAGGAGGGGGGCACGTTCTGAGTATTATCGCGGACGCCGACCTAAGACACTCAAGACAGCCTTGGCTAAACGAGCAAAGCTGGTCCCTTGGTAGCAAGTACTATCCAAAAGGTGATTGTCGCCCAAGGACTCCAAGGCTTAGGGGCAACCCCCAAGGAGCCCCAAGGGTTCCAAATCAAAGGCGCCACAATACAGGGCGTAGAGGCAAACTACTCGACATGGCCAATCTCTTTGGTGCGACCCTTGCCAAAGAGGCCGAAAGGGACCGAAGGACCTTGCGGGGGGTGGCGGTGGGGGCTCGCCTTTTTCAGACCCGTCAGGGCGCCTGAGCTGCCGAATCTGCTCGAAGCCCAGCAAAAATGAGCTGCGGGACTTTGCGGGCGGAATTTCTCGGCGTTTCGCCCACTTTTGGGTAACCCGTCGATGGGTGGTTCCTTGGGAGGGTGGCCTATGGGAAATGGAAGCTTGGTGATTCCTTCTTTGGAGGGTGACCTATACAGGAAAATGGAATCACTTGAGAAGCTCATGTTCGCTGTTTCTGAGCAATCCAGGGAAAGCCCGAGGCGCGAGGCTGCGCACATGGTCCTCGCCCTGCGCAAAGAGCAAGGCGCCAGCTTAGATTCGATTCGGCTTATGCGATTTGCCGAACCGAATGCTTTCAGTTACAAAAAGTACCCAGTGCATCCCAGACAAACCACCACAATGGGGAACCCTTCGCCGTTTTTCTTTTGGCCTTCAAAGGGTGGTTCCCTTGGTTACCTAATCGGGAAACGGGAACACTTGAGTAGGTTACCAGGGACACCCATCAAGTAACACCAAAAGGTAGCAATACTTGGTCGCCTGCTGACTATTCTCTTTCCCTTATCATATAATGCACCTTAAATATTTGTTTTATTCCCAAGATCCAAATCTCCCAATGCCAAAATAGCATCGGCCCTCAAGCAAGTCTAAACCAGCAAATATCCTGCTGACCCCAGCTCCAGTCTTATTTGGGAACATGTTTGAACGTACCCATATGCTGTGATGTCTTGACAAGGAGGCTCAAGACGCCAATGGAAAGAGCCGCAATGGACCCCTGCTGTGATCCTTATGTCTTGTTTCGGGCAATGTTAGATTTGGCGTGGCTGTTCAAAGGCAATCTTTAATCCTTACCTTGGGTTTCGAAAGGAATTGGCCCCCTTTGGATTGTGGTTTTTCAGCAGGGAACAATTGGCCCAGTGGACCCCAGTTTCCTCTACAATTGCTAATTCGTGATTTTCCTTTCGGTTTTGAAAGGGTGGCAAGCGCTTATTATATAGGTACTTGACCGGAATTACTGGGTGGGATCAGCCCCAAAAAGCCGCCGACTCCTTTCGCTAATTCTCCGAAATCCACCGCTCTGGGCCTGCCAAGTCTGGTCCGTTTTCGTCTCGAGGTCCGATCTGTGGACTTTGGCTTCGGCTCCAAAATCTCATAGGTTTTCAGATCCCTTTTTCCGAACCGGGGGGTGGTGCGGCTTCGGATCGGGACAAAGGGATCCTGCATATTAAGGCCGGATCGGACCCTTGGCATATTGGAAATCTATATTTTCGACCGAAACCGGTTCCATCGATCGAAGCGGATCGCAACGAAAGGTGCAGAGACGCGGCAGCTGGACGATCCGGCAGAGCCGGGAGCTCAGACTGGTCTCCCCGATGTGTGGGGTGGGTCGATCGTTTTGCCCGGCTGAAAACTTTGGGGTCTTTACCCATGTTGTGTTGCTTTGATCGTTCTCTCCCAGTGGAGCCAGGTTCCATGTACCGGCAACCAAGGGAACCACCCTTCCAACAAAAAATGACAATGGCTGCGGTTAGGATTTGTTTTGGTGGCTTGCCTGTGTTCCACTGGGTCAGTTGCAAAGGTTCAGTTGCTTGCCGACAGTGGGTTGGAAAGCTGCGCTCAGTCATTTTACGGAAGGGAGCTCTACATGAACGTCAACCCCCTTATTTAAAAAGTAATAATAAATACAACAACCAAAAAAACACATAATAAACAAAGTAAAATAAACCTCGCTTGCCGATTTGAGGGAGTCATTTGAGGGGGCTTGGGGAGGGCACGTAATACCTCGAGTCCCCAACCCCTTTCTATCAACAGGTTCGCAGTTCCTTAGGATCGAAATTCCAAAAACCATACTGCCTTTTTGTTGTCAGACAGGGCTCATTTCCATACTGTGGATGGACGAAGTCAATTTTGCACCACCTGGCAACCATGGTCCATGGTTGAACACCATTGAACACCATAACGTTTGTTGGTTTTTTTAGGGAAATCATTCCACGGTTTCTTAGGCAGTGCGGGATTTCATCCATCCACAGTATTTCCAAGAACAATCAAATCGAGCTTATCATAATAATCGGGCCCTGCTGCCACAGGTTGGCAACCCCCTTTCTTTTACCAAGTCTAGTCTATCAGAAGTTTGAGCCCCTCCCCGACTCGCAGGGTGGTACCAGTAGTAGTTTTTTGTCCCAGCCCTCACACAGGACTGATATATGGCCCTTTGATTACTTGCGCATCGAACGCCCTTTGTGGAAGAACAGCCAGCTAGGTTGATAGCCATGAGCATAGAGATTACAATGGAACTGTTGCAACCACCAGCCATTTGTGTCCTTTTTGGTGGTTTGGGCAAACATAGGCGTTTCCTGGTCGCAGCTTGTTGTTAATCCTAATCTGCCCAGAAAATCCATATATTTCTCCAAAAGGACTATGCCCACGGCCACGTTTGGGGCATTGCAACTGGCCGGAATCGATTCGGACCCCTGCCACTCGCCCGATCGCTGGTCCGATCGATTCACGGCAGGCCGTGCATGGCTGCTCTCTTTCAGCTGGCGGGAGACCCGGCGAGGGTGGTGGATGTCATTTTTTCAAAAAGCTACCCCCTAGACTCCTAGATGGTTTTAGTTTAATTCACTCCCTGAGTTCCTGGACTTTAGACCAACCCACGCGTCCCCCCAGATGAATGCGCTCCCATTGCTGGATTTTGGGTTTCCGGCTCGCAAATGCAGCACCAGCCGGCTCCGGGTCTGGTACGGCTTCGATTTTTTCGGGTGCTCCATACCTCACACCCCAATGGGACCCTTGAAGTGACACAAAGAACCCTTCAAGCCTTTGAAGGAAAGCGGGAGGCGAGGGTCGATGGACTTTTTTGTTTGTTGGTGCTGGCTGCTTGCTTTTCACAGATGGTATGACAGATGTAAATCCAGACAATCACCAACCCTTTCTGGAGTCTCCCTTACCCGACAAAAAGGAAAGGGTTTGGCCAGTGTTCGAGAACAAATAAGTCCCGGTAGATCCCATGTAGGTAATCAGCAATTCTTCGTTTGTGTTTCAAGTGGAAAAAACCCTTGGTTGCCTACACAGGTTTTCCGGATCCACTAAAGGCAACCCTTATTTGTGGTTTGGATTGGTGATTTGAGGCTCAGCCCTGGTTCTTGGAACGGGCCAATGAGAGACCAGCCACCACTAAACCACTCATTTCCTGAGTTCCTGGATTTTAGTCCCTTAGGTTTGGACCATTTTTAGTCGAGTTTGGTCACTTTTTGTCCCATCGCTCGGAAGTGAGGTTTACCAATCCAAAGGGAAGCCACGGTCAGGTGGAGGACATTGTCTACGGCGTGCCCAAGGACTGGGAGGGGTCTACCATATGGATTTGTGTGGGTCCCCACATTGATGAGACGCATTCTTATGGAGGCGTTGTTTTTCCTTCAGGGGGACACTGCAAGATGAATTGTATATCCCTTAACCAAAAGAGGGCTCCCACAAAACAGACAAACCCCCCTGTATGTCTCATGTGAGGTTTGGGTCAAAACTTCCTGAGTGGTCTCCGCAACCAAGGGACGAGATCTGAGCCCTCTTGAGGACTCCACCGGGCAAAATCATGCTGTGCCATTGATCAAAAGGGAGATGTCCCATAGGAGGCCGTCCTTTACTTTTGGGGGTCAACCTGGTTGATCTGAAGGCCACCCGTCAGGCGCACCTCCTGCCTCAGCCTAGCTTGTTTGGCTCTCCAAAAGTCCAAAATATTGGCTGAAGTAATTGACCCTATTTTAAATTTTCCTGGGAAATCCGCCTGAATGTCCCTCAGTGCCTGCAAAAGACATCACCGTATGTGTCCAGTCAAAGCTTGGTATGGCTCGAGGACCGCGGGGTCTGAAGCCGCACCACCGCCCGAGCTGAACGGTCTCATGGAAACCCAAAATCCATCGATCGGACCGATCGATTTAGTGGCAGTCGACGTAACTTGGAACTGATTTGGAGGTGCAACCAAAATGCATCCCAGTTCTCGTGAACGAGGGCTAGACCAGGCCTATGTCAGGAAACCGGCCTGTTTGCAGGTCATACCCCTTACAAATTAACACAGGCCCCAAAAGGCTGGGGGGGGGGGGGGGGGCAAAAGGAGTTTCCTCTACACATGGTGGGTTTTAGGTTCCATGTCAACTGTCGGGGAGTAATTTGCTTCCACAGCCTTGTTGCTTTCTGGGTTTTCGCATGGGGCTTTTTCAAAGTTAGAGACGCGCTCCTTCCAGATGGTTGCTTTTCTTTAGAAACCGGTTTTTAACGCCATGCGAAAAGGCGACTCCCTACTTTTGAGGCAGATTTGGATGTTTCTGGACCGGTGACGCCTTTTGGGTGCTCAAGCAGCCCCCCAACTCGCCTGCTTTTTCCACCGTGTCCAAAGGCCCCTTGGTACTGTCCCAAAAGCAGTGGCTGGGACCCGTGGTTGCAAATCCCCTTACTGCCCCCCAAAAGCGGTTCCCCTACTGCCCAAAAAGCTGTGGCCGGGACCCGTGGTTGCCCCCCTTCCCCGGATTGGTTTCTCAGTTGTTCAGTGGCACCAATTCTGTTGCCCTTCTTGTTGGGTGGCTGACTAAAAATGGCCTTCCCCAAAAAGGGTTCGTTTTTTTTTGTCCAGGGTCACTGAACAACTGAGTGGAGATGAGATTCTGTCTTTGGATCAAGTTGTTGGGTTCCCGACCAAAAATGGTCACCCCATTGAAAAGGTTCCCTTTGTCTTGCTGGTTCTCAGCAGGGAACAAACAACTCTTCCCCAGAATTAGTTCCCCTTTATACTTGTTTGCTTTTTTGGGGTTCCCTTTGTTTTCCACTACCGGGCAAAAAAAAAAGAATGCTGGGGTCCTAATTCCAGCCAAGAACTGAGGTTTTGAATGAGAAACCCTCGCGGTGCCGACGGCAACGTCTTTTATCGAGCGAGCCATAGGACCTCAGCGAAAGGATCCTGCAAAATGCCGACGGGGAGGCGCCCGAAACTCCTTGCCCAGAGGGAAGTGCGTGTGTCTCGTGTTTTTTTTTTTCTTTTGCAAACCCCGCAATGGTGGTGTTCCTTCTGGTTTTTGTTTGAAACCATGCTTGAAGGGTGCCAACTCCAAAAGATGAAATGCAAGTAGCTTTCTTTACTTTTTTTGGAACCCGTTCCAAATCACCGATTCGATTGGGGGGGTCCCGCAAACGAAAGCCCCAAATGTAGTCCCTTAGCGTTTCATTTCTTATTTCTGTGTTGGTTGGGACATCGACAAGTGCCCAGATATGTCAGGCAGGTGGTTAGCTCTTATGGTTCTAAGCCCCTTATAATAATAAGTCCTTAGAGGGCGATTGGCAGGGAGCTTATGTCAGGAAACCCGAAGTTGGTGTTTGGCATTGGTGGTTTGGGAGTTGAACTCCTGGTTCTTAAAGAGGGTCAATGGGAAAGCACGCAATCTCCACCTCCAACTCACCACTCCAAATCACCAATTCGGGCGAAGCTGATTGAACAGTTTGGTTCAGGGGCTTGTCCCATCCTATAGGGGTCCTTTTCGGTTGGTTGGCTGATAAAACATGGGCCCTGGTTCAGCTGGTTCAATCATCTACCAGGGAAATCAAGTTGTTTTCCTTAAAAAGGACACCTATCATCCTGTCGGCAGATTGCCAAGCTGTACAACCTCTTCGTGGACCTGAATCGACGGGGCCTCGGTTCGGGAGTCACTTAGTCACTTGGAGGTTACGTTTTTCCTGGTTCATATTTCAGATTGGTGTGCCTTATGAATCTTGCGTTGCGGTAGGTTCACTCCTCAGTTGTTCAAGGCCGACCTTTTGACCTTCTTCCTTTCCTTTCCCTTGTTGGTCTGTGTTTAGTAGAGGTCCCAAAAGGTAACCTTTAACAGGTCCTTTGGGCAACTGAGTCACAACTTCACCTGGCTTGCTCGTTGGCTTGTCCCAATAACTTTTAGCACAGAAGTCGCGGCTGTGATCGAAGGAGTCTAGGCGCATTTCGGGGATGCGTCCGCTGCGGCGGTGAAAGACTTTCTGGTTTGATGAACCGACGGAGGTTTTGGGAATGAGAACACCCGCGAGGTAAGCCACTAGTTGGAGAGTCTCACTTCCTGAGTGTCTGGACTTTGGTCACTTTTTGAGTTTGGTGGCCACTTTAGTGGTAAATCATCGCACAACTTCCAGGTTTCTTTCTGTCCACTCGGGAAGTAAGTAGTTTAGCCAGATAGTTTAGGGGTCATCCAACCTTTTTCTGGAAATCTGGGAAAACCCGAGGAAACCACCAGTTGGATAGTTGAATACTTGGATGTTCGATTCGCCAGGTTAGTAAGTGGTCGATTCGCCAATTGGGGTACCACCCCCTTATGACAAGGTTAACCCCACTTAGGAGGACTTACAAGTGGGTCATAACCTAGGTCAACAGCAACTTACTAGCTTGGCCAAACACCCAAGTAAGGCTTTCCAAGGAGATCTATTGAACCCCCAGGGAGTCGTTGGGAATCTCAAGGAACCTTACTTAAAGGGGCGATCAGGTACTTAGACTCAGTTGCCCAAAGCCGACCTTTTAACCTTTTGGTTTTCCAGTTTTGGTCCATTTTTAGTCATGGCCCCAAAAGGTTAACCTTTTATTTCTGGGTCCTTTGGGCAAGTGAGTAAAGGGGCGATTAAGTACAGTCGTCATTCCCGCAAAGTTTCTGGAGTTGACGCCAGATCGGACCGAGTCACTTCCTTTGGGCCGAGGCCTGCCACAGCGGCAGGACAGGAAGCGCCGTGTGCGCAGGCGGGCTGGCCAGCTTCTTGCGCCAGACGTGCCGAAGCGACGAAGTCTGGGGGTAGCTTCCAATTTTGGGGTTGGTTTAAAGTGAAACCAACAGGAAACCACCCATTTTGGTGGTCTCTCCTATCTTGAGAAAAACCCATAGGACTCCTCTGTTCTAGGCATACCTTCCATTTCTATGCTGAATCCAGGGATTCGAATCTTTCTAGAAAACCTTCGGAAACGGGAAGGAAAGAACGGTGGAATCAACCCCTAGACCAAATTCGAGCCGAAACCTCGGTGAAGCCGGGTGGCTGATAGAAGAATCCCACCAAAGAGGTGCTCTTTTGTAGGGTGACCTGAGGTTCTGGACTTCCTGCGAGAATGTAACTCATGCCGGGGGGACGGGGGGGCCGGGGGGTAGTGGGTGAATTTGCGCCTTTTTGGTTCAGCCTGAGAGTGGCTATGAACTTTGGGGCGGCCAGGACCAATAAGGGCCATGAAAGGCAGTTGAAGGGGTGCTTCAGTCGAGGAACCCCCAAACTTCCTTTGTTGCTAAAAGGATCTGTTTTTGTCACATTGAGAATCACATTTGTCCGCTGATTTGTAGGATTAGCCTGGTGAATATTCTCATTGTTGGATGTATTGGAGGGCCCTGTTACAGAGAAAACAATTTTGACTTCACTGAGGGCTCCCCAAGAACTAAACCAACAACAGATCTGCTGGTAAGCAAAGGCTCCCCACTTCAATCCATTTGATCTCGGTTAAATTAAAGGCTCCCGTCCTCAGACTCCACCGAGCAGAGTTCCTTAGGTCCTTACGCGGATTAGTAGTTGTTGGTAACATTCAGTTACAGGGTTGTGGGATCACTCGGGGTTTCTCCAACCACTTTTGTGATACTTTTGGGAATCCCCTTTATATGAAGAAAATAGTCTTTGGGAAGCCCTTTCTGTTGTATCACAGAAGTGGTCATTCCCCACAGCCCTGTTCAGTTCTAACCCAGCTGTGCCCCCCGTTCAGAGTCCAGGTAAAAATCCTTCCCGGCGAATCCCAGTTACCACCATAGGGAACCAGCCATTATCCTCTTGGTCTTCAAAGGAGAGGTTCCCTTGGTTGCCAATACAAGTGAACGGAAAAAATGGGCTTGTTGGTAGATGAAAAACCCCAGGTGGCGATCACCACTTGCTAACTTGGCGAAGCGAACGTCCAAGTGGTGCAGTCGAGCGCCGAGTTCTTTGCGAGGCTTCTAGCGGCCATGAGATACGTTGAGCAGCTTTCATCGCTGTGCCAGTGCCCACCCATTGGGGGGCCGTGCGGGGGTTGGGGAAATAGATTCGACACAAACACAATTAGGGCGGCACGGATTGGTTGATTTTCCTTTTCTTGGTGGCTTCCAGCCATCCCCTTTGCTTTTTTGCCTTTTGGTGTTTCGTGGTAGTTTCCATTGAACCCACTAAAAGTTAAACTGTTAGCGGGGGATCTGAGGGCAGCCCAGGCATCCCTCAAACGCAACCCCAACAAGGCTATGTAACACCAACATATTCTGACGGCAGTCCCAAGAGGGGGTTCCCAAAAACGGAGCCAGTTCGTTGCCCTCCTATCTCGCCCTTGTTGCGGTTGGGTTAAAGGGATGCCACAAGGAAATCCACTCACTTTGCGATACCCATTTGTTGTCTTCTACTCACTTGCCCCAAGCGAATCGACCTTTAAACCTTTTGGCCTTCCTCCAGTTTTAGTCTTGGTCACAAAAGCTTACTCTTTTATTGCTGGGTCCTTTGGGCGGGTGAGTCTAAGTTTGACGAAATCAGAAGCAGAATCCGTGAATTCACATTCCGCAACAACCAGGGGTTAAAATTCACATCCCGCCAGCAATTCAAACCAGAAAGGGGGAAGTTGACCAAGGGCCAACCTTTTGACCTTTGATTTCTGGGTCCTTTGGGCATCTGAGTGATCCCATATTGTATACATATATATATATATACATATATATATATATATATGTTATGCTACGTTCAGTGTGCCCTTAGCTTTCTTTTCTGGGAACTATGTTGACATGATTTTGTATCTTTGAGGTTGGCTGATGGAGCGCACATGGCAACTGTGCTTATTGCGGGGCAAAAGAGGAGGTAGTGTAGGTTGCCTTTTAACGGTGGCTCGCGTGGTTCAACTAAAGAACCACCGAAACACGAATGCACACACACACACACACCCCTAAAGATTAGGTTTGTGTGTGTGTGTGTTGTGTGTGTGTGTGTGCATTCGTTTTTTCTTAGTTGTACCATGTAACCTATGGGTTCTGGTGTCAGCGTGGGGATACCAGTTGAAGGGTTCCGATAATCAAGGACTTCCAGGGACCCGTAGGTGATTCCCCGCCCTAACCCGCTGGCCCAAAACCGAAAACCCCGGAGATAGGTACATGGGGCCATTCACCAGGCAGGAGCGGGGCAGCGCGCGATCTCCGGGCGAAAGGGAGAGACTATGCTGGGGGGTTTCAAAATCAGAGGGTCTCTTGGTACCTTCTGAGGATGGCTTTTGAGGGGTCAAAAGGGGTCCTTCAGTCCTTAGAAGGTACCAGGAAACCCTCTGGGAAAGTGAGCTGGGGTTGTTTCCCTTAGCCTTGCACTTGGTTCGGAGATCGTGGTAAAATGAGGCCGGCTTCTGGAAAGATAAAGGCAGACCTTGGACAGTGAGGTTTGGCCATTTGGACCTCCGCTTGTTTCAATTTTCCAGGCCAGAAATGTTCAGCGGCAATCCTTCTTTACTTGCTGCGATAGGGAATGATCCGGGTGTTGCGAAACGGCTTCTTATTAAAGGAAACCAGACGGGAGAGTTTTCCTCGGGACCATTCCAGTTCATTTCCTGCAAGCTTCTTGCAGCTATGAAAGGCTTCGGATCCTTCAGTTCATTTGAAGCCGAAAGCCGAAAGGCGCACGTTGCAAGTTGCTACATGCAATTTGGATTTGGGGCTGGTCCTTAGGTCCTTCTTTTTGTTTGGGGGGTGTTTGGTTTCTCATGAAAGTTCAATTGGGGGTGTGGGCTGTAAACTCTGGTCCGTTTTGGGAAGGGGGGCAGAAACATAGAGCGCCATCTTGCGACTCCATGAGCCAGACTAAATCCATGAACGCTCAGCTTTTGGACGACCCCTGCTGCCTATTTTCTTGCTGGTTCTCAGCAAGGATCCGAAATGGTTGATTCCCAAACCCTTGGTTATTCTTTGATCACAATCATCAACAGGTGCTGTGGTTTGGTCCCATGTCAATCGCTGTAAGAAAACACGCTTGACGACGTGGGCAGCGTTCAAGCTCCAACCCACAACTTGCTGTGGCCGTGGCTATGATGCCCGGTGCCGGAGTGAAATATGCTGTTTTGCTGGCAGTTTTGGTGCCTGGCAGCCTTTGCAGTCGTAGGATTTGTGTCTCTTAGCCTCGGAGTTCGTAGATTTGGTAGCATCGCGTTCGTTCATGCAGACTGGCCAGCGGCGGTATCCCGTCCAAGCACTGACTTTCGTTGTGCGATCATCTTGACGGGGAAATTCCTTTGTGGCTGCTCGGTTTTCACTACCAACCACTGGCGCAAGGGACAAACGCAAGATAGTCTCCCTAGTGGCTACATGATGGGACTGGCTACCTAGGGGTAGTGAAATGGCCACCATCTAAGATAGAATTCCCCATGTACCATATATGATGGTAGCCTCCCCGCGTGCATGTAAACAACTATTCAAGGCAAACAGCAAGTTTGGACTTTTTGGGATTTACGGTATGTGTTTCAGAAACTGGGCTGAGCAGTTTCCACACACACACACACGACGCTCCACTTGTTTTCGTTTTCCCCAGATTGTTGCAATGCAAGTTAACTACATTTGTTTGGCACACGTGTTTGCATCACAGGCAAGGCACATGACCCAAGTGCATAACCTGGGCATAAGAATCACACAAGTTCGTTCGGATCAAGAATGCCCCTGTTTCTGTGGCATGGACTTTCCATTTTGCTACGAGGAGGTTCCCAACTAGAGGTGCCATTTCCCGGTGGTTCCGTTTCTTAGGTAGCCAAGCAAACCACACAAACCAAAAGGAACATGGCGAAGGAGTACCTACTGTGGATGGACAAAATCCTGCACCACTTTGCAGCCATGGGTATTTACGGGGGAATCCGACTCATTCCGTTGGGTTTCTGAACGGTGCGAAATGGATTCCGTCGTGCCTGGGAGGCGCTGGGCTTGTTTTCACCCAGTCTTGGCGGTTGCTCTAAATGTACCAAAAAAATGGCACCTTGGTACATGGAACCAAGCACTAAAACTGTGTATCCCTAGCTCTCGAATTTTGGGCCACACCCTCTCAAGGTGTGTGGCGTCGCGTTTTGGAGCGACTGACGTGCCGAGCGTCTCGTCGCAGGCTCTCCTTTGATGAGCTGCACGCCCAGATCCTGGTGGAGCTTTGGCTTGCGCGGTCCATGGCGCTACAGCCCAGTGGGTTTCGTATGGGGGCTCTGCAAAAGCGTCCTACAACGAAGCTTCCTCTACAAAATGGGTGGGCTTTTTGGGGTTCCTTCCGTTGATCTGTAGGAGAGGTGAGGGGGTCACACACCCAAGGCCCCAAGGACTCTTTGGACACAATTTGCTCTTCCATTCAACCTCTACCAGGACCCCCCAATGGCTGGCAAATAACCCCGAAACAGCCATTGGGAGGTCATTCCACAGGCTCAGGGGGGAAGAGCAACCCAGGTGGGGAGGGGGCTTTGGTTACTCCTTTGCCGGGTTATAACACCCATAACCAACCCCAGGCGATTCAGTGGGGGTGTGAAACGCCAGAAGTTCACCCCATTTCGCTGCCAAACAGAGGAAGGCCGGTATACCTTTCTGATGGTTTCGCCTTTTTGGGTTTTGCTATCTTGTCCCTTTCCAGCAAACTCCCTTTTTTAGTTTGTCCCGGACGTCTAAGTCCGGGGGGGTTGGGGTCGAATGAGGCCAAGGGGTTCAACGGTGTCCTTAGGTTGGTTTGGATAGAAGTAGATGACACTAGTTTATTTACATCAGGTTTACGCCCCATTTAGCAGGGCCATCTATTTTTCCAAACGGTCACCTATGGAAGGAAACTTGGTGGAGAGGGGGGGGAGCTCTTGCTTGGGTCAGCCTTGCCTTCAACTCTTCCCACGTCCGTGAAACGTCAATGGATTCAACTACCCCAAGGGTCAGGTCGGGGCTTGGTATGAAGGACGGACGGCCCGAAGCCAAACCACATCCCGAGGTGCGGGTCAGGTCGGGGTCTCAAAACCTAGGTGATGGAGCTCCAAAAGATCCATCGATCGGGCCCTTAAAAGGGGACTTCCGGAAGCGACGTGTTTCCAGGTGAAACCCAGCAGGTCCCCTGGTACTTTCTAAGGATGTACTGAACAATTAGTTTGGACTCCCAAAAGCATCCCCCAAAATTCTACATGTTTAGTTTTTCCAGAGCCTTTTGATCCCCCCTGCCATTCTCAGAAGGCAGCCTTTGGCACCCAACCTGAAACCAACCCACCCAAACCCAGAGAGCCAAGTCTTAGAGCCTGGAGAAGAGCTTTTTGCTGGGCCCGGCAGCGGACTCGTCGAGCGAGTCTGAGGTTCGCATGGACACCTTGCTGCGCGCGGCGCCAAGCTGATGCGTCGATGGAATTCGTTTTTGGCCGGACCGCCAAACACACAACCCCCCAGCCCCCCAAACACCGACAAGCAAATTGAAAACACACACAGACACAAACACACACACAAACACACACACACACACACACACACACACACACACACACACACACACACACACACACACACACACACACACACACACACACACACACACACACACAAACACACACACACACACACACACACACACACACACACACACACACACACACACACACACACACACACAACACACACACACACACACACACACACACACACACACACACACACACACACACACACACACACACACACACACACACACACACACACACACACACACACACACACACACACACACACACACACACACACACACACACACACACACACACACACACACACACACACACACACACACACACACACACACACACACACACACACACACACACACACACCACACACACACACACACACACACACACACACACACACACACACACACACACACACACACACACACACACACACACACACACACACACACACACACACACACACACACACACACACACACACACACACACACACACACACACACACACACACACACACACACACACACACACACACACACACACACACACACACACACACACACACACACACACACACACACACACACACACACACACACACACACACACACACACACACACACACACACACACACACACACACACACACACACACACACACACACACACACACACACACACACACACACACACACACACACACACACACACACACACACACACACACACACACACACACACACACACACACACACACACACACACACACACACACACACACACACACACACACACACACACACACACACACACACACACACACACACACACACACACACACACACACACACACACACACACACACACACACACACACACACACACACACACACACACACACACACACACACACACACACACACACACACACACACCACACACACACACACAGAGAGACACGCAACGAGTTTGGTCACTGTTTTCCAGTGGATCTATCCGGTATCGGAGCATGGCAAGGGTTTTTCATCGACTCTATCTTTGCGGGTTACCTCAGGATGTACTGAACGACCCCTTTGAACCCCCAGCCACTTGAAGGTACTCTCTGGGACCCTTTGGGGAAGGAGAAATTGAAACACTCAAGTGGTCAGAGAGCCACGTCTTAGGCAGCAGACACTTCAGACAAGGCTGCTTGGCCAGCGGGGCGCTCGGGTGCGCCAGAGTCAACACGAGTCGAGCTCGGCGCTGGCTGCGGCTTTCCTCAGTAACCCGTGTTGATTTGGCGGTGGGTCAAAACCAATGGGATCCCATTTTGGGGTAGTCGCACCACCCATTTTTCTGTCTGTTTCAGTGGGGATTGGGATGTTGACTGGGGGCACGGGCTTTTGACCCGTGGCCATTTGTTTGTGTTTCGAGTAGTTTGGTTGTCGAACAATGTGAGCACTTGCCCGACATCATGGGGGCCAGTGTTTTGTCGCTTTTCCTTTTTTGCTGGGAGCAGATGGTCGAGAATACATTATAGTTTCTCGGGGTAAGTACCCTCTTCTTCAGTTCCAAGTATTGCTTTTCGGGGAAAATCAACGTAGACATACTTACTTCTTTTTTTAGGCAACCCCCCAAAATGAGGTTCATGGATCGGATTTTGTTCCCCGAAGGTTCGAGCATCTGCCAGGTTGAGCCCCCGAACCTTTGGGTCGACGAAGGGGCGGCCGAGGCCGGTGCCAGCTACTGGAGGCGCAGCTTCCCACAGCGCCCAGGCTGTGGCTGGTGCACTGGCAGACCCTCCAAGGCGCGCCGAGCGCGTCTCGCTCGCTCGGCCTTCTGGCCCTTGAGGTGGTTGACCCCATAAGCAACCCGCAACCCCTGTGTATTCTTTGGTGCATTTTGCCAAGGGCTGCTAGGACTGGACAACTTTTGGCCAACGAATTTGGGTTTTCCGAACTAAACCACTAAAAGTTGAGAAGTTTTAGCAGGGGAGCAGAAAGCAACCGAGTATGAATAGGGGAGGTGGGGGGCCTTCCGAAAGTGAGGATTCCCCAGTAAACCAGGGACACCCAGAGGCTGATTAATATGGCCCTGAATTCAGCTTCGCAACTTTGGTTGAGGGTGTTTTGCAAAACCAAAAGGAGTACATCATTTTGGGGGTCGCCTTAAAAAGGCACACCTATCTACACCCCCAGGTCAGCTTCCTTCCAGAAGTGGTTTAGATTTGTGGTTTGGACCTTCGGGGATTGTTTTCGCATTTCGCTTCAAAAGGAGCTAGGGTTCAAATCCTCAAACCACCAATCCAAACCACCCAAAAAGGGGTACCGTTTTTTTCCCCGGTTTTAACGCATAACTCTGCCAATTTTATCGGAGGTAGAATGTGCGAAAACCATGAGAGAGTTTCTTCGGATCCCTTAGTTCAGCTTTTGGAATTGTAGGTTTGGGGGACGAGCAAACGAGGGTATAACCAATAACCCACGAAACGAGCAAACAAGCAACATGGAGGTGTCCAATCACCAGCCAGATAAAACAGTGGCTTACAGAGGCAGCAAAGGGAATGACCCCTTTGGACAGCCATTCCTTGCGGTTTCCTAGCAATAGTTCATAGAAAGGTGGCTCCCCACCAAACCCACCCCCAAAACCCCCCCACCCCCAAAACCCCCACGCCCCCAAACCCCACCCCCCCCAAACCCCCTCCCCCACCCAAACCCCCACCCCCCCCAAAAACCCCCTCCTCCCCCAAACCCCCACGCGAATCGAGTCGACTCGAGTCGATCGAGTCGCGAGTCGCGAGGTTTGGGGCGCCTGCCGAAGGCTCGGGAGTTCCAACATCTCACCTTAGCCACCGCCGCCCACCAGGCGCGGAGCCGAAACAAAACGCGAGCCGCAGGACGGCCTGGCTCGGCGTTTTTTTTTTTTTTTTTTTTTTTTTTTTTTTTTTTTTTTTTTTTTTTTTTTTTTTTTACGTCGAAGGTCCTTGGAGGGGGGGAGGGGTAAAAACCCAAGATCGGCACTTTTTGTTGGTTGTTGTTTGGCTTTTTTTGTTGAAGTCGACTTCAGTGCTTCCTCACCCTGTCGGGAAGGACCTTTGTTCTTTTTCGATTACGAGTCTCCTGTTCCGACCTTACTGGGACAGCGTGACTATTTGGCTGGGGTCAATGTCCAGGTTCTCCAGTGCTTCCAAACGCTTAGGGAACATCAGGTAACCCTTACAGGTAGTTTTTTCGAGGCTTTGCTACGATGGTTTTTTCCTTGGACAGCTCGTAAGTGGAAGCGCTGGGTACTTTTTGGAAACATGTACGGGCTACCTTCTAAGTAAAAGTTTCTCTATTGTATGCCAAACTGGTGGTTTAAGCCCGGAGCACCTCTTCTTTTTTTTCCCTTTTTTTTCGGGGCAAGGTACGCTTACTCAAGTTCGTGTCTCGAAAACTTGCTCTTATCTTCCATTCGCTGCAGATTTATGTCCCCCTGTTGGTTTAAATACGCATATATCGCGACCGGGCATGTGTTCTTCTGTTTTCCAGGCGGCGGAAAAACACATGAGCCACAATGAAAACACAGGTAGATGAAGGTTAGTAAGCGACAATCCCAACAATAAATAGCTGCGGCCGCCTTCTTAATTCTTTACATGGTTCTGGGTAGCCCATTTTAGTATTGGGTTTGGCTTATGACTCACATGGGTATTATCCACGGCTTGTGGGGAGTACGATGTCACGCCTCGAGTTCCTGGACTTTGCTCTTGCACCATGCTTTGACTCGCTCAGCAGGTGCTGGATGTACCCTTGAAAGAGCACAACCCACCCATGCAACAAAATCCGCAAAGTTTATTGGAATCCAACCCAAAAAAAGCTGTTGGTGGGTTCCCTTCCGAGAAACCCCAAAAAGAAGAAGACACACACACAAAAAAAAATCCTCCCCCCCCTCCCCCTCAAACCAAAACGAGCATGGCTTTCTTTTGGGCATCCCTTTGAGCCCGGATGAAACACACAACCTGCAAAACAAACCCAGAGGGTCCCCTGGTACCTTCTGAGGATGTACTTATACCTCCTTTTGACTCCCCAAAAGCCATCCCTCTAGCAAACACACACACACACACCAAAAACAAATGCAAAACAAGAGAACAACACACACACAAACACCCCGAAGCCACACGCCATCCTTTCTATAACCAGAAGGACGATGGCTTCCTATTATAGCAGCTTGCCTGGGATCCACTTGGCCACGCAAAACCACCACGCACACACGAAGCCGCGCGCTCACATCTATTGGGCACTGTTTTCCTTGGCTTTCCCGTCTCGAGCAAACAATAACGCTCATTTCATCCAAAACACGCTCGATTCGAAAGACACCGCAACAATTTCCGGCTGTCGGATCGCAGGCCCATGGCAGTAAGGCGGTGGTGCTCTTGGCGGTGCACCGGTGGCGCAGTGACTCGGCCTTTGGCTTCGGAGTTTGTTTTTGTTTTTGGGGGGCGAACCCCTGTCTAATCGTTGTTGTTGTTTTTTTTCTCGGGGAACCCTTTCTGGTTCTTGTTTTTTGTTTGGGGGGGAACCCCTTTCTAGTTGGTCTTAAGGGGAAACCAAAGGGAAAGCCTCGAAGTTTTTTTTTGGGGGAGGGGGAACCCCTTTCTAGTTGGTTTTTAACGGGAAACCGAACGGAAAGCCATCAGTTTGCGGGGGTCCCCTGACAAGCGTCTTTTGTTTTTTTGGTCCGAGCCATTTCCCGTGGGGGAACCTGCAAAAATTGCAGTTTCAGGGGGAAAGAAGTGGGTCTGTTTGCTTCGGAGTTGGTACCCCCTTATTATAAAGGCCCTTATTGGCAGGGTTTAAAGGAACCTGAAAGAAAGACACACCTGTTTGGTGTCTTTTCAGCTTTTCGGGTAGAGGAACCACGCCTTTCTTTCTGGAATGTGTCGTTTTTGGTGTGTCGCTGCTTTTTGGTGTGGAGACACCCCGTATAGCCGAGGAATTTTGAGCATGTCTTACCAAAAGGTCTCCTCCAAAACAATCTTATTTCAGGGTACATTCATTATGAGACAGAGTCTGAACATATTATTTCGGGAGTACCCCAGATGTGGGCCCAGTATGCTTAGCTATCCATCAAGGGCCATGAACTTCCCATTCCCCCCGAGCGAGTTGGCTCTGAATGATTGGCTGAGATAACCAAGAGAACCACCCCTTCCAAAAAACGCGTTGAGAACGGCTGGTTCCCCCTAGGCTATGAGTTGTTTCCCGAAATTTCCCCGGGGGACCTGGAAGCGAAGTGAGAACGGCGGGTGACCTACCGGCTTAGATCGGTGCGCACGCCGGCTTGGACGGGGCGTTTTCTTGCAGGGAATGACCGAGTCCGGGGTTTTGGAAGGAACCGGAAGGGGATCCCCGAAAGGAAAACCAAATCGGGAAATGGGTTTTCCTTTAGGGGTCATTCCAACTCAAATTCTCTGCCTAGCGAACCAGTTTGTTTTACCTAAATTTTCCCTTTAGGGGTCATTCCAAGAGAAATTCCCAGAACCCGTCCCTGCCTATCGCACCCGCATTTGTTTTTGGCCGACCTTGGGACCCGAGTGGTTGCGCTCGCGCGAGGCGCCAACTCGGTGGACCCGCAGAATGTGACCTGGCGCCAGCTGGTGACCTTCGCGAGGCCTCGCAAAAAGCGCGAAGCCGCTAGAATTTGGCCTGGACATGGCTCGAGAGGTCGAAATGCCTGTGTGTTTCTTCATGTTTCTTGGGAGGGTAATTACCTTTTTTGTTTGCGTCCCAGGACATCCAAAAGAAGCAAACAAACAGTTTGGGGGGTCCCGCAAAAAAACAAACGCTCCCAAATAGTTTGAATGGGGCTGCGGGGGACGTTAGTTTTAGAACCAACTTATAAGTCATGATAAGTGGATGTGTCCGATTGGTTGGCTTATATTGCCCAGATCGGTTCACCTGTATAGGCAACCAACAACACCAACCATAGCAGAAGGAAAATGGACGAAGAGCTGCCTAACTGTTGGAGGCAAACACCTGGGATTGATTCACTGGGTACCCAAAAGTGCCAATCGCTAGTACTTTCAAATCAACTGCAAGCCCGTTGCTTCCAGTCACCACTATAGTACCCAGTTCTTCTAGGTGCCACTATTAGTATCTAGGGGTGGCAGTACATACCCCTTGGCTTCCCTGGTTTCCAACCCACTGTATAAGGGGTATATACCCGTTTTGAGGAGAGGGGATGAACATCAGCAGGCCTTTTGGGTACATTTTTCCAAGGGGTATGTAAAACGGGCATGTACAAGCTTTTCTGGATAGTAGGTGCCAGGGGAAACCATCACGTAAGACCTAGAGAGAAACGGATTCCTGATTACCGTTAATACTGCTGGGCAAGACGAGTCGAATAATGTCAGGTGGTACCGGTCACGCTGGGGCCAGGAGCGCGGGCCCTGCATTCGCTGAAAGTCAACTTCCCCCGAGAGGTCCCTACATGTTCAGCCCGTGTAAACATCGCCTCTTGGGACTTTTAGACAAGTTTCCTTTTCCTGGTGGCTCCCAGCCATCCGGTTCCTTCGCCTTTTAGCTTTTCAGGGTTTATTGGGGATTTCCATGTCACACTAAAAGCTTTCAGCTTTTAGCAGGGGATCTGAGGCCAGCCCAGTTTTGTTGGGGTCATGGCCAGACATGTCCCTTGTGTCCAGAAAGGCCGCGAGTTCTAAGGAAGCAAGGCGGAACGTCAGGATGTTGCAAGGGAGTGAGTTCATGAACTTTAAACTTTTTGGGAGGACCATTGTAGTGGTACAGAAAAAGTTTTGACTTCTTTGGGGCCATCCACTCAGCCAGTGAGAATGACCATCCCTTCTGGTTTCCTTTTTCTGGGGCCCCATGGGTTCATTCATTCCCATATTCTCTATACTGAGCACCAGCAGGGTAAGGCACCAAAAGTCCGGATGTGGCGTCAAGGCTCATTTTTGGCCCGGAATAAGAAATCAGGCTCCACACCTTGGTCCAAGGACAAGCCATCTGGAGAGTCGCGAAGTCCCGAAATGGTCCCCTACTAAAATCGACTACTGAAAAAAGGGTACCCTCATTCTAACCTCTCTACTGGCGGACCTAGTGGTAGTTCATGGTCAAACTGATGGTAGTCAGGAGGCCCAGAGGGGAGGCAAGTCTTGACCATGGCTCATGTATGCAAAAGCTCGATCCAGGGAAGGTGCGCAAACAGCTTGCATTCAGGTGGTGTTCGTGTAAGAATGGCCGGCTAGGTAGTACATGGCTAGTAACCACCACGGTAAGATGGTTGTAACCTGCATCTCTACTATCCGTTCACTGTGTGCACCCAACTGCCTTTAAGTGGGATTTTGAACCAAACTAAGTGGTGGATGTCCAGCAACCTTGGGAGCGCTCAACTTCACTTGGTTCCAGGAAATGACACCAGGCCCAAAGCCAAGCGCTTGTCATGTTTGTCATCCCTCTTTGAAAGTCAAGGTTCCAATAGGTTAGCCTTGTATGTCCATTTCTGCAAGCGGGTGTGTCTTGCAACGAGCCCGGTCTCATGCTTTCCTCAGCCTTGTGAAATCCCCATGGAAATTGGGTGACCAACTCGGTCCTTTCAAGCTCCTTTTTGAGGTCTTCTCCAAATGAGTATTTTGGAAAAAAACAAAGCCTTGTAATCTAAACCACTTAGCTCCAACGGGAAATTTGGATATGAACCCGGCTACACACGGGGAAAGCCGGCAAACGCTTGTGTCCGCCCAAACGTGACGCGTCTCTCGCGCGCCGCGGGGAGCGCGGCGAGCGGCGCGGATTTTCCTCGCGCGGCTCAGGTTGGAGGTCTACTTTTGGATCGATTCCTGCTGTGTCCCGGAGCTGCGGGCCAGAGGGCCCAAATTTTGTGTCTCAAAGTACCCCCCCTCCAAATTGGCACAACGGGCTCCTGAAAAGATCTCCATTTTGCAACAATTTGAAACATGTGGCTTTTTCTTCTTGCCGAAAAGTTGGAAACCACGCCATTTTTCCAAGTTGCAATGTTCAGGTGTTTATCATGTATCCGGATCCCCACGTTGGCACGGCACGGTTTTCCTGGATCCGGTGCCATGGGCTGTTTCAGCTCTACACCCAACGGGCCAAGCCTTGGTATCGGACGGCTCTCTCTTTTTCTCGGGCTGGGGTTGGGGTCGTTAAGTTATTAAGTACATCCTTGGAGGAACAGCACTTTTTTTAATCTCCATGACATATGGGAAGAACCAACAGCGTTTGTTAAATCTCCATTGACATATGGGAACCCAAAGTCAATCTGTGGTTTTTGGGCGCTGCTTGATTGGTCTTTGCAACATTTATAACAAACTCACCTAGGCAAGGCTGCGGAAAGTTGTGTTTTCGTACCAAAGTGGGCCCACCCCATGATGAGTTTATAACCAAACCCCGATTTCCACTTCGTGAAGTATAGTCACTCCACGATCAATTCGGCACGTCAGGTAAGTGGCTGTAACCCGCAAAAACAAAGCTCATCGCTACCGCCGGCCTTATAGGAAGTTTTGTGGGTTATTTGCCATTTGTTTCCCACTTGCCTGACGTTGCAGATCGCCTTTCAACCAACAGGAGACAGTAGCCCCCCCTACGTGGGCCCTACCCGCCCTCTCACAGAAAACGTCTCAGCGCTCTTCTATGAACCCCTTCTAAGAAGCTTCTAAGAAATTTTCCAGGGGGCTTGGATGGGGGAGAATTGTTTTGTTTCCACGAAACCTGCACAAACCGGAGGACTTGAAAACAAACGCGTGTCATGGCACCCGGGAGCATGGGCCAACCACAACCCATGCCTGTGACAAGGAGACATGGGAGGGAGCTCCTGGACTAGGTTGTTAGATTAAGCATTGCAAAAAACAAAAAAACAAGGAGCAAACTAAACAACATAAACATGGCTGTGGTTGTCAAAACCGTTTTGGGTACCATTTCGGTTGGTTGCTGAATTCACCACCCATTTTTCCGTCTATTTGGGTGGGGATTGGAATGTTCAACGGGGGCTAACCGATTTGGCTTTGGAAAAGCCCATGGCCACACGACAATGCTTGGATATCGATCTCTCGTTGCGCTCGGATCCGAGGCCCGCTTGCCGGAGCAGGAAGCAGAGACCAAAGAAGACATTTGGGTGACGGACGACGAGGCGGCCGTTCGAACGTTCGAATCGGCCCTTCAACATGATCAGCTCCTTGTCATGATTCAACATGGGGGCTGCTGCAGTTAGTTGGCGTTCCCCTTTCTTTTTGTGCATGGCTTTGATTTGTTGGTACTTTTTTTTATGCTCCAAGTTAAAATTACTCACCACATGAGTTGTGTGGCTCGCTGTTCTTTTTGTTACTTCCCTCAGCGTAACGCAAGAGCCCGGCATGTCTTCCCCCATGACTTGCTTCCGCAATTCCTGGGCTTGATCAAAGCTTTTTGGGTAGACCATTTGGCTGCGAGTCAATTTGTAAGGTCCGGAACAGGGTCCGGAACCCACATGCGATCCAGACCTCCGTTCCAGACCTCCGTTCCAGACCTTGCCTAGAAACATGTTTCAGACCTTCCGTTCCAGACCTTGTTTATGTATATTTATTTCTAGAGTATTGATTCAGATGGTCGTTCTTTGTCGGGTGTGCAAGTGCAATGGCCAAGGCTGAAATGGCGTGGAGCAAGAAAGAAGGAGCAAAGGAGCAAGAAAGAAGGAGAAAGAAATGAAGAAAGGAGTATCGGTGTTCCGGAAATTTGGTTCGGTTCGGTGCGATACAATTCCGCCGCTTTCGATACGATACGGTAACGGTTCGACACCGTTCTCGGTTGAAACGACCATGTTTACATGCGGCTTGCTAGCATTCCAAAGTGCAAGCCACTCGCGTAACCGTTCCCCGTTCCAGACCCGTTCCAGACGTGTTCCAGACGCAGCGGAGCAATTTGCCACCAAGTCCACATGCACACACATGCGCCATGTAAGTAGCTGCGCTTCTTACGTGGCCCGCCACCCAAGAAGCCTTCAAGGACGACATGTGCCAGGGCTTTGGAGACAAAGAAGTCTTTCAAGGATACCCTGCATCGGCTTGCGCATCGGTGGACATCGGCTTACGCCTCCCAGCCTTGTGCATCGGCTGGCGCGCGTGGCGGGCGTGACTACAGCGCATCGGTGTCCCAATGACGCGAGGGTGGCAACGATGGCGGCGCGCTCCTAGTCGTTTCATCCATCCATCTACCCATCCATCCATTCATCCATCCATCTATCCATCCTACTCTAAATGAACGTGTGCTTGAGGACTCCACGCATGTCCTCCCAGAAGTCCGGAACAAGCGACCTTGCGTAACTGACTCGTTCCAGGCGTCCGCGTCACCGAATATTGACCCACACCCATTTGGGTCTGTGTTTTTTTACCGTGTCAGTTCTTTAGTCTTCGTGGGAGGTGGGGCTTGGGCGAGCCATACCCCCGAATCATACCCCGAGCCATACCCCCGAGCCATACCCCGAGTCATACCCGTTTAAAAAACACAAAAAAGGAACTTGCAAGATCTTGACATGTGGACCGATGCCAGGGGGTAGGGACTCCGAGGTAATACCTGGTTCACTTGTGGTTCCTGGATCTATTCTTGAGTCTGCAATGCTTGCATGGTTGGGCTCTGATGTCATGGGGCCAAGTACAGTTGACATGTCCACTCACACACTCACTGGTTACTCGTGGGGGGCCATTTGGCTCAAGTGGTGTTCCTTGACACTCCGTTACCCACCTCGGTCTCGGCTTGCTATTTTCAATGGAAAGTGCCAATGGATGGAGCAACAGAGCAATCCTGCGGATGTCCTAGTACTAGAGTTGTCTGTAGCATCCGTGGTGCTGCGGCGGGGGGGTGCAGCTTGACGTAAGACGCTGGGACTTGCAGGGCGCTGTGGCGGGGGGTGCCGCTGCTGAGCTTGAAACTTGGAGCTTGCTTCCTGCAGTCTGTCCGACGTGGTGGAAACAGCTGTCTGTCCTGGGCCCCCTGTCACAGTGAAACACAAGCTGTCTTTGTGCTCCTGGGGTACTCTTGGTGTCTTTCCGGTCGAAAAAATCTGTCCCGCGATTCATACCCCCGATTCATACCCGATTCATACCCCGATTCATACCCTTCTGCTGCCATTTGCAGCCAAGAGCCTCTTGCGCTCTGGGCAGTACTAGCAAAGTAATGCGCCCAAATCCTCACAAGACACAAAACTCAAAGAGAAGCAGGAACCAGTTCGCCAGAAGGTGGGTTCGGAAGGCTTACTGCGATGTGTCAAGCACGACACGGTACACCACCTGTGAGAGGCCCACTAGCCTCTGCGCGGCTGCCGTTTGAGGATGTCACGCTGTCTTGCCCTTACGCTGCCCAAAGCATCCGCGATTGAAAAAAATCAATCTCGAAAAGCGGATTTCAAGAGCGATTGAATTTTGACTGCGGAGCCCGCGATTGAATTTCAACATCAGTTGCGCGATTGAGTTTGGTCCCGCAGCCTCTTCAAGTCGCGATTGAATTTGACAAGCCCGGGTTTTTTTTCGCGATTGAATTTGGCTTTTCTCGCGATTGAATTTTGATTTTCCCGCGATTGAATTTGCTTTCCCGAGTCTGGCCCAGGATGAGCCGCGGACATTTGGAGGAAATCAATTTTAATTAGACGATTTATAGATTGTAGAAGCCCATTGCGAAAAATAAATTAAATGTATAATATATGTTGAATGTGATACCCGCAGCTCATCCGCACAATCGAACGCATCCGTTGTTGGCGGCTCGTGGCATTTGGCTCAAGCCCCGGCACCTGTGTTCTAACCCCGGGCCCCTCTGCCGTGATGAAGGCGTCCATGCGGGCAGGCAATCGCGGCGGGCCTCGCAACGCAAGAAAGGCAGATCTGGACCAAGTGGCCATGCTGCAAGCTTTCGCGCAGCACGCTCTGCAGAACGGCGCGCTTGCGCTGCTGCAGTTTGGCGGCTATCTGAACCTGCCGGTGAGCAAGGCCATCTTGGGAGCGGAGCTGGCTCGGCCCTGCCCCATCCTGCAGTTGGTGCTGCGGCAGTGTCCGTCCGGAAAAGTGAAGTTCGCGTGCTTGCGCACTGTGTATGTCAAGTTTTGCGCTCAGCACCCACAAGTGTGGGAGTTCCTTGGGACGCACAAGTCCCTGAGCGACCACGCCTCGGACTGCGCCAACACTGTCCTGACAACGCTCGCGCACGCCCGGCGTCTCTGCGATCCAGTGAGGTTCAGACAGGCGACGCAGGGCCTAAGGACTGGGCAGGCGCAGGCGCTGGAAGGGCTGAGAGACCACTTCCTCTTGCATCGCCAGCCGGAGCTGGATCGCGAAGAAGCCACGGAGGCCGGCGAGCCAGAGGAAGATGACGAGGTCAACCTCGACAACTTGTCCGACTTTCTGGCGTCGCAGGACGCGCCCGAGCTGGACGCATCCGCCCAAAAAAGCACTTCGGCGGAGGACAACTTGGATCGGCTGTGTGCTTACTAGTGACTTAGCATGGTTATGATGGTTAGCTAACGACTTATAACAAGTTAGCTAAGTAGTTAACTAAGTGTTTCCTAAGTAGTTAGCTAAGCTTGAATATAGACTTTAGTCAGCACTCAAGCTGAAATATATAAGCCCGGGAAAGTTGCAAATTTCCTTAGTGAGCAGCCTTCGAAGCCTGACAAGCACATTGAGAACAATAGGAAAAGCCTATGAAGGCTGAGCCAAAAAGCCTGAAAAGGCTGACAGCCCCCCAAAGCTGAATGCCAGTGTGTAGCCTGAACAGGCTGACAGCACATGTCTCAAGCCTGAAAAGGCTGAGCCTGGCATGAGTCAACAAGACAGCAATAAGCCTGGAAAGGCTGACAGCCGATGCAAAAGCATTGCTGTTTTGCAAGTTGGCCCCGTCATGCATTTCACGGCCTGTGGGCCCAAGGCACCAGCACCCTCAGCCCATCTTTGCTGGGGCAAAAGGCGACAGGTGTCAGCAAGTCTGCTGTTTGCACCAGAACCAGCTCACCTGTTTCTTTGACCAAGGCTGAGCAAGTCTTTGCACAGTATTCCACAAGAGTAAAGGGAGAAACAATACTGTACACAATACTGCCCACTTGGAAATGTAGGGAGATGGCTGCAACCTCCCAAGCTTGGCCCTGCTGGCTGCCAGCCATGAGCACAACATCCTTTGCCTGACAAGAAGCACCAGTTCGCAGCTTGGCTTGGTTGCCCACATGGATGCAGTCATCAGGCATTCCCATGCCCAAAGTCATGCGAATGCGCAGGGCCAGCTTCTTGTTGGCAGCGCGAGGCTTCGTTAGGCACGCACCCTGCTGCCACTGCTGGAACACTGCGCTGTGCTTCAGTGAGTGCAAATCATGCGCAAGGACCTCCTCCAAGATGCTTTGCTCATAGACAGACAAATTTGTGGTGGCAGTGGCATATCGGGAGCATACTTTGTGCTTTCTTTCCAGTGACCAGCAAGAGGGCAAAACGCCATGCAGCTGCAGTGATGTTGCTAGATGCAACAGCCAGTGAAACTTTCGTGTCATGTAATTGGACCAGCCAGCTTCCTTTGTTTTTCGCAATGCAAATTCCACTTGCTTTTGAAGGACGGGGGGAGCCACTCTGTCAGAAGCTTGTAGTAGCTCCAAGACCCGATTCATGCTGAGGAATGCTTGGCATTCCAGCACATGGCTGCCCTTGGGCACGAACACATGCGCGGCCAAAAAAGCAAGAAGAGGGCATAAGCTCAGTGTTTCTGACGCGCTGCACTTGAACTTCTTGGCTTCCTTGTAGCTTTTGACCTTCTTGCTTGAAAAGAGCTCAGGCAAGGAGCCAGCCTTTTGCCAAGTAGCCGGCAAGGTCCACAGCTTCAAGTAAGTCTCCATGCTTTCCCAACCCAGTGTTGCACACAGCAGGTATATCATTACTTGCATAACCCCCTGTGAAGCCATTGCGTGCATCCAATCGTGGCACCACTGGCTGATTGGCTGCAAGACGTTCTGGTCCAACAGCTGTTTGCACAAAAAAAGGGAATGCTGGTTGTGTGTGACTCCACACGCCTGCTGCCAGTCATCAAATGCTCTCTTGCTCATGGCCGTCTGGTTGGCAGCACACCTCTGGTAAGCCTGTAGCACTTCCTGGTTTGTTGCAAGCTGACATTGTGAAAGGGTACACACAT